TAACTCAATGGTATATTTAGAGTTATTTATTTATTAATTCAAGAAATGTTGACTTCACTCTTTGTGCCATGCCCCGCGGTAGCCGTTTCCTCATGAGGGGTTGATATGGCTCCTGTTTCCAGGGGGCTCACAATCACCTGAAGGACAAAGATAAGCAAGTGAATCAGATATAGCATGTACTGTCACATACGTAAACTCTTCCATTTGAAAGCGACATGCTCAGAGAGTGACAGGAAGAACAGGAGAGGTTTAACTTTTCATGCCACAGCAAAGGACCCTAGAGCAGCTATGATTTCAGCACTGGACGATGGACACCGCACCTGAGCTTCTCACTACAGGCAGTTGTGAACTGGAGCAACTAAGAGATACTGGAAGCAGTAAACTGAACATTCAAAACAAAACAGCTGTCTTGGGCTTTGTGAGGAGCTGCTGATTTAAAGTCAGGCCAGCAGACCCTCCTGCTTAATGTTTCATCATTTTCAAAGGAAAGGGAGAGTGTGGACACAATGCAGTTCATTGACGAAGGAGTAAGCCTGAACTCTGTTAGCACGCTTGGTAATGACAGCAAATAAGGGAGAAATATAACCAGCAAATAAACACACTCTTTATAGAGGAGTAACGCCTAACCTGAAGTCTGTGAATGGGCTTCAGATGTGTTTGAGGAAATGAAGCCCATCACCCTTGAAACTGTCTTCTATGAATGTGTTCACATATGCATTTTTCTGGGAAGGAGTTCCATAGCTTTGGTTAAGTCATCAAAATGTTACAAACAACACCTAAAGGTTAAGGGCCACTTCGGCATTGTCTTGGTTACTTTTTTCTCGTTGCTGAGACAAAATACCCAATGCCCAAAATGAAGGAAGGAAAGGTTTATTTAGCTTACAGTCTGTGGAGGTTTCAGTCCATACTTGGCTGGCTCCCAGGCAGAAGGTAGCAAACCAACAACAGCAAAGGGGGGAATGGCAGCCGAACAGCAAACAGCCAGAGCCAAAACGGGAGGAACCGCGGCAAGCAGCTTCTTTTTTGTCTTACATCGCAAACAGGCTACCCCCACCTAAGGGGCGTGTAGCTCTCACATAATCTCTTTGCTCTCCTCTTCCACAGGCTCAGGATGTATACAAAGTAAGCACTCTGGCTTTCTGCTAAGTTACTTAGGCAAACCTCTAGACTCCCCAAGTTGACACAATGTATCAACCATAACACTCCACCCCTTGTCAACTTGGGCAACCAGACACATTTTTTTAAACCAGTTTCCAGGTACAAAGACATTACATTTTATTAGAACCATAACATTTTACCCCCTCAAGACTCATGTACATCCCTTTAGGCAAAAGGCATTTAGTCCATCTGTAAGAGTTGCCAAAGTCCTAACAGTTTTAGCATTGCTGAAGAGTCCAAGTCCCAAATCTCCGAGATGAAGGCAAACTCTTAGCTGTGACCCCCTGTACAAATGAAAAGTTAAACACTTTTAACACTCAATGGCACAAAATAAGCAGTACCATTCCAAAAGGTACAAACAGGGGGATATAGAGTATGGGGACCAAAGCAAGTCCAAAATCCAGCAGGGCTAACGTTATGTCCTGTAATTCCACATGCAGCATCTGAAGCAACTTGTGGCACATTGTAAGCTCCAAAGGGTTTGTATGAGTCCACCCCTATGGCACTTTTGGTGGTTACAGCTTCCACAGCTTTTTTCTTAGACCCACTTTGTTCCCTCCTTGTAGCTTTTTTTTGATGATTCATGGTCCTGGCTTTTTTAAACTTTTGAGGTCTCCAGGGCACCTTTTGTTTTACACTCACAGCCTCACACACTGCCTTCTCAGGGGCACACTGTCTGGCCTCCCAGGCCTTTTGAAATCTGGGTGGAAGCCTCTTGAACCTCAGAACTCTTGTATTCTCCACGCACCTAAAGCCAGGGCCACGTGGACGATGCCAAGGTCTGCTGCCACCTGGAGCAGTAGCCAAGCTTTTTTTTCTCTTGGCCATAAGGGTCGAGTGCCTGGATCGCTGGGCACCCTGAGTCCAATTCTGCGAAGCAGGTTTTTTATGCTGCCGCCATTCTGGAACCTGGTGCGGCCGCGGCCGCCATTTTGGAGCATGGTGTTCTGAGGCTTCCTTTTCAAGGTAAGGTCTGCCACCTCTGTAGTTTTGAGGCTGTAAAGGGTGGAGACTTGCTGCTTTCTGTGATGTCCTCAGGCCATTTTTTTTATTTTTTTGTTTTTTTTCAGCAATAGAGATCTCCTTAGCCTTATCTTTGTAGTCCACAGTATTACTGGAGCTTTTTTTCTGGCCAAATGTACAACATTTTAAATCATCCTGTTGGGCTCTTTGTTTTTGATTTTTAATATAAATCTGGCTAAAAGCCCCCAACAATAGCCATGTCACTTTTCCAATATTTGACTGTCTTGAAATTTTTTTTGTCAGATTAATCAGTCCACTGTCGCCCTTAATCTCAGTCTTAGGCAAGGTCTCTGGACATGAACAAAATTTAGACAAACTTTCTGCCAAGCCATAACACACATCGTCTGGAGTCCAACGACCAATGTAGTCCTTCTTCCCAGCAGAAACCTCCTGAACCTGGTCTTTACCGGCACGATTTTTGTCAGCCTTCTGGGCTTCTGAGCTCTGACCATAATCTCCCAGACAGAACAGTCGAAGCTGTTCTAGCGCTTTTCTTTTAGGCGACATCTCTGAACCTTTTTAAACACTTTTTATAAGCCATTTTCAAAGGCTCTTGAACCACATGGTCAGATATAGTCACAGCAACGGCCCCACTCCCGGTACCAAATTCTGTCTTGGTTACTTTTTTCTCGTTGCTGAGACAAAATACCCAATGCCCAAAATGAAGGAAGGAAAGGTTTATTTAGCTTACAGTCTGTGGAGGTTTCAGTCCATACTTGGCTGGCTCCCAGGCAGAAGGTAGCAAACCAACAACAGCAAAGGGGGGAATGGCAGCCGAACAGCAAACAGCCAGAGCAAACGGCAGGAATGGCGGCAAGCAGCTTCTTTCTTGCCTTACATCGCAAACAGGCTACCCCCACCTAAGGGGCGTGTAGCTCTCACATAATCTTTGCCCTCCTCTTCCACAGGCTCAGGATGTATACAAAGTAAGCACTCTGGCTTCCTGCTAAGTTACTTAGGCAAACCTCTAGACTCCCCAAGTTGACACAATGTATCAACCATAACAGGCATAATGAATGATTACGTAATTGCAATGAGTTAGGAAGCCAAGTGTTCAAATTTGAGACTTGGGCCTTCCACGTTTTTATGGCTTGTATCTAGATGCCCCCACAAAGCCTCATGAGGTTGTAGGTGGAGTATTTTTGAGGCAGCTATGTTTAGAGCACGTGAATGTGCAGTAAGGTTGTGGTACTGGGATTAAGGGTACGAATAATGGAAGCCCTACCCTTGGTATGGGTGGCACCAATCAGTAGGCTTGTGGGCTGGATGAAATATAGGACAGAAAGAAGACTGTCTTGCTGCTGCTGCTGCTGCTGCTGCTGCTTGCTACTTCGTTGCTGCCTTCCTGCTTTGCCATGGACTTTCTTCTCTGCGACGTCCGTCTGCCATGCTACCCATCTTGGAGCCAGCTCACTGTGGACTGAAACCTCTACAGACTGTGAGCTGAAACAAGCCTGTCCTCCTGTAACTTTGGATATTGGGTATTTTGTCTTAGCAATGAGAAAAGCAACTAAGACACACATATTAGCTGTATGATCTTGATGTTATTTATAAAAATAACAACTGCAAATATTTCATTACTTATTGTAAGTTACTCATTGCTAAGTCAAGGTGTATTGTGCCTGGGATTACAAGAGCAGCCTCAGCCACAAACAGGTGCATGAAGAAATTGTTCTTCTGTCCTTAGCCCTTATCAATTAAAGTTCAGTTGACTTACCTTTTGGTTTCTGCTTTGATTTCCCTAACGGTATCCTAAGTGTTTGACTATGCTTATTTGTTTGTTATACATTAATAAAGACCCTCATTCTGCCCTGCCTGTTTCCTTGGAGGGCTTAATCTCACCAACTCCTGACTCAGTGCAAGACAAAGACCCTGGGCACTGAAATTCAGCTAGGAACCCAGCTAAATAAACGGACTGGGAGGTCATACCACTCACTTTGCAGAATATGTTGTACTCCCATTCCAGCGCACTGACTCACTCTGGCTCTAGTCTATAGCTATCATCAACAGATCCACAGTGTCTTGATTTAGTTTTTCTGAAAAAGAATCCTTCAAATGTCTGGCTTTAAGGAGAGGAGCAGAAGGTTTTGAATGGCCTAAGGTTTCAGTTACTTTCATTCAGCCTGTCCTCACCCTGCCTCCCACCCCTCCATCTTTCCCGAATCCTGCAGAGTAAACTGGCTGCCTGAGTGCTGACACCCTCTTCTGCAGGCATTTACGTTTCAGCTTTTTCCATGCTGTTAAATTGGAAACACCCACCTATCAATTTTCTCTTTTCTAAGATATCAGCTCTTATCTCATATGTCCTATGATCTCTTTCCCCCTTTTCTCCGTCCTTGTGTATTTCTCGATTGTTTTATGTATTCTCAGGGATCTCTCCTTGTGGAAGAAACACAGAGAAACTGGGTAGAGGACTGGTCTTGCTTCTGTACGTGAACTTTCTCTCAGCCCCTGCTCTCTCTGAGCCATCCATGGTTCCTGCTGTCGCTGATTTCAAGCTTTTGCTTTGCTGTGGACCTGTAAGCAGCCTTCTTGTTTTCAGCCCTGCACCTCATTCCCGTGCTCCGTGGTACCTGATGCCTCCAAGCTCAGAGCCCTGCCGAGTTCCCACGGGGATGGACCTGCTTGCCGCTGAGTTTCCTGTCGTTGACTCTGTATCATGATCCCCGCTCCTCTGCGAAGTCCGCTACCACTGTGCATCTTCCCAGCGTACGAGGCGCCTGCGTATGCCAATGACCTCGTTTCCTTCCGAGGTCTACACCCTTTGATTCCTCTTTAGTTTTTGTGAGACCCTGAGAGGAACAGGATATAAACTTATACGACCAGTACAAGTTTAATAAAAATTGGTGAAATCTACTTATAAGGTCACAAATTAATAACGAAGGTTTTACACAGATAAAAATCGTGACTAATAGCAATCACAGATAGTAGTTGTTGCATTATACCACTTTCTGACATTTATTTATATTTTAAAGCTTGTTGTGTTAGTTTTAGTCTTTATAGAATACAGTGTGATTATTCAATACAGAACACATTATTCAATGTGTAATGATCAAATCAGAGTAATTAACATTTCCACCTATTTAAACTTAAAAATTTTTTATTAACACATAATAATTGTACATACTTATAAGGTACAGTGTGATATTTCAGTACATGAACTCAACGCATCAAATCAGGGTAGTCAGTATTCCATTTCCTCACCATTACTTTATGTCTGCAGCCTTCACGCTCCTCTTTTACAAGTTATAAAACACATAATAAGTTACTGTGAAGTATAGCCGCCCCACTGCACTGCGCCTTTTTATTTTTATTGGGTTGTGGAGTATTAAGAAATGTTAAATTCATAGCGAGAAACAGCTATAAATATTAATTTTTTGGCATATTTCTGATCATCAATTTTATTCCACATATTTTAGGAGTGAAAGGAAATATTGCTTATAAATATTAGGCAAACACATGGATATTTTGAAATAGACAGCAAAGAAACATTAATAATTAAGCAAATAATTCAGTTATTGTTTTGTGCAGCTGTGAGTTCATTGTTATAAAGAAGTTCTGGAGATTATCCCAAATGTCTACATTTTTCTTAATTTGGAAACTACAGTACGTTTTTTAGCAGTGTCTGGCAGTCTCGTAATACTCTTAGGAATAACTGATGAAAGGAAAGCTTGAAAGAGAAACCATCAGAAGCCTTTTAGATTTAAGGTTGATTCGATGACAATATCTAACACAGTCCATGTTTCGTCACTGGTAAATAGTTAGTAGTGATCTGATGAGACAATTTATTAAGTAGTACATAACTACTTAGGTCATTCCAGGAGAGCCATCATGTTTCTTAGAATTTCAGAAGCCTTCAGTTCCAAGATGTGAATGGAGCGCACACTTCCCTCTTCTTCCTGAAGACTCAGTGAAATGATAACAACCAAAGTAGGGGAGCAATTCATATATGAGCTAAGAATGGAAACAGAACATCAACGTACAAACACCACATCAACGTACAAACACCACTGGAAAATATTCACAAGATAGAAACTAGATAATGTATAAGAAATAACAGGGAGAGCTCCAGCTCTGAGCTTGTCCCAAAGAGACTGAGATCAAAGGATGGTCACTTTTAATGTCACTATTTACTGCACTGAAGAGTTGATAATTATCAAAACTGAGTTTTATTAAGCACTTGCTATATGCAAAATAATGTCTCATTTAATCCTCAGCAGCCTTACAGAATCAATACCATTGCTAACTCATAGCTGAAGAAACCAATCCATAGGAAAGTTAAGTAGTATGTCCAAGATTTTACAACTAATAAGGCAGAAGCTACATGTGAAACCCAACTGACTTAAATCTCAGAACTGTTTTGCTGTAGTTATATTTCAACTGTTCTATTTATTTTGTTTGTATGTACATTTCAAACTTTAAAGCATACTTTTATTCTTGCCATTTTATCTGCATTTATAAGTTGGAATGTACTCAAAGACCACACTTTAAAATTGAGCTTGTTCCACTTATTAAAAATAAGGTGGCATCAAAAACTCACAAATGCTAAAACTACCTGTAATATAATTGCATCACAACATGTTGCCCATTCATATATTTCTTAAAATGGACAATTCTTCCAGGAGGATACTATGTCCCAGTGGAAGCATTTCACTATTGCCTAATGTTTAACTGAGCACAGCATTCATGGGCTTCTCAAACGTACTTGGTAATACAGCTTTTCAGGAGGACATATGTACCAACAAACTCACAAAACACTGGCATAGACCTACAGACCTCTAATAAAAACACTGTGTTTGCTTTAAATGCAAATGTAAAGATTATATGGCAAAGTTTGCTTTAGAAGTTAAAAAATTTTACTCCAAAGTTTGCTCAAAGTCAAGTTAAATGAGGTATTGCAAGTCCACACGTAATTGTGGTCTCTGCAGGAGACACGTCAGCCCTGGTCACGTGGATCCCCTTTTCCAGGCAGCCATGTTTATACTGCAAGATCCCGTGCCCAAGGACGCAGATGACAGAGTCAAGAGTTGAATCTTGCCACAAGTTAGTCAATCGGATTCCCTCTCCTAAGCATTTGGAGTTACGCCTGCAAGTCCTTGTAGAAAAGAATGAAGGAACACACAGAAGGACAAAGGGAGAATCTTTACACTACCCGGTTTCAGTCCCTCTCTGACTCCTGGCTGCATTCCAGGCTTCGGTCTATCACAAAGTCCTGAGTCCTTCAAATAAAAGTCTCCATTTTTGCTTGAAGAACTTGGTATTTATGACTGGAGAACATAATCCTAGTTTATAGAACCTGTAATGTATTAAAATTCCTTATTAGTACCAGGGTTTTATCTTAGTTACTTTTCTTGTTGCTGAGACAAAATGCCCAACACCCGAAGTTAAAGGAGGGCAAAGGTTAATTTGGCTAACAGCTCATGGCAGCCTCGGTCCACAATCAGCTGGCTCCAAGGCAGGGTGGCACACGGAAGAGGGCAACTGTTAACAGCAGTGGAAGATGGCAAGAGCAGCAAGAGAAAAGGGGGAGATGAGCCTCTTTCTGTCCCTTATGTTGGATCCAGTCTACCGGGCTCAGGGCGATGCCAGTCCAATCAGAGGACCGATCCAGCACCACCCGCCCTTACTCCCAGCACCCTTAATCCTAGCAGTGCACCGTGGATCAGTCACACTCTAGATTCAGCCACCTCCAAAAAAGCCCCATCCAAAACTGCATGAGGCTTTGAGGGGCCGTTGAGACACAAGCCGTAACAGGTTTGCTCTTTACTCTGTATTCATTTTTCAAGTATTCAAAGTCTTTGAAATGAATCTGTACTGTCTCCAGACTCTCCTGGCTTTGGGGAGCACAGCATAAGAACTTCCAGTCAAAGCTGCTGAACACTCTGCAGCAAGAATGAGGAGTCTGACCAGTTTGAGTTATAGACACCTCCTTGGTCAGGTGTAAAACCCATGCCTCCAGCTTCCACTTGAATCAGATTTACAAGAAGTCCTATCTTTCTGGAGACGTTTTCTTGTGTTTGTTGGATTGTGTCTCGTTTCTTTGGGCTGAGTGGAGCTCACACGGAGCCCTGGAGCCTCGCAGGCTCTCCCTGCTGCCCTGCAAGTTTTTGCCCCCGCTCTGAGTGTTACTGCTCTTCCTGCGTCTGCCAGGAGAAAGCGGCTGTGCTTTCCTTTGGCTTCTCCTGACCTGTTGTCCTCATTGCTACCCGCTGGGCTGCTCAAGACTTCCCTGGTCTTCGGGGACCATGCCCCACTTGCTCAGAGCTTCGGAAAGGAGGCAGTGCGGTTCCTTCCCCAGGCTTAGGTCCATCCCTTATAACCCCAGGTGAAGGAACATCCCTTTCCTGCAGGGGAGATCCGTTCTGCTCTGCAAGGTGTCATGGGCTCCCACAGCCTCAGAAGAACAATCCCGAACTCGGCTGGCACGTGATAGATTCTCCCAGATCTGGATGTGTCGGTCATATTCATGATAATCTCGTCGGATTTATTGAGTTGGAGCTATTCCCTCGTTTATTGGCATATGCTGACTCGAGAAAAGCACTCATGAGTCCCTGATGGCCAGGGAAGTCAAGCTACTCATTTGAACTGCAAAATTTAAAAAGAGAAAGCAATGTCAGAAAGCAAAAATAATAAAACAAAAAGTACTCTGAAGAACCAATGAGAAAAGAAAGAAAACTGAGAGGGCAAAAAGGAGCAGAGAGAGAACAGCCAGAGCAAACGGAACTGCCGGAGGAGGGCCGAGGCGGCGCTGCGCTGCGCCCTGAGGAGGAGACCACAGCTGCAGCAGGGTGAGAGGGACTCGGGAGGGCAAGAAGCTGCTCCTTGAAGATGGCTGCAAGGGCTCTGCGACCTCAGGGCAGCCCGCACCTCTGTACCTTGCGGCAGACGGGCGATCTGGAGGGACGCTGGGTTAAAGGGCGTGCTGCGCTGGGCGAGGCAGAACTCAGACCGTGTCGCGTGCGAGTCTCGGGGCGAGCTCCGCTCAGCTCAGCTGCCGAGGAAGCCTGGGCCGCACGGTCTTTAGCACCAGCAAACCTGGACAGTAGTTTATGATGTACAAGGTGTTTTCATAATCGTGATCTTACCTGATGCTCATAACCCCGGGGTTGAAGGCTGTGATGCTTTATGACGCTTAGAAAGAGAAGGAAGTAGAAAAGAAAAAGGAGTCGCTTTCAAATTCTCCTGATTCCACAACTTGTTTGTTAGTTCTCCACGCCACAGCAGGTTTTACCTCCATGATTAACTTAGTGGACTCTCCGCTCGGGAACCAGGCAACAACAGGGACACCCTTTGTCTTTACTTGAAACAAACAATTAGAGAATAAACATATCAAGAAAAATATGTATAACTGAGCAAGTTCCAAAGTCTTTCCTATGTAGTCCTACATTTGCCTTTATAGATAACAATAACAGAGCATTTCCTGAGCATGTGTGTGCCCGGCGCTGAGCTAACGTTCTACATTCCTTATTTAAACTCGGAAACAGCCATGGGATGTACCGCATCAGTGAAGAAGTGCTGAGGCTCAGAGCGGTTCAGCAGCTCGCCCTGTTACACGGCCACACCGCGGCAGTCTCCGCGTGAGCCGCACCCTGCTCTGAAGCTCGCTTCTTACCCTTCTGTGTACAACACCGCTACGGAGAAGTCAAATTCTTTCCAGCAACCACGACCTAAGACGGCAGCTGTTTTGTTTCCAAACTTTTCATCAAAAGTGGTTTCCATCTTTAACTTTTAAACTGTAGTGATCAAGAGGAACTCTGTATTACTCTGTCCCTTGGAATTCAGGATGAATGAGTTGTTGCTCTACTTTCACTTTGTGTAGCCTGGCCATATGCCTACTAATTGTATAATGATCCTTATTCACGTATGGCAGAGGATTTCTCTAAAAATGAAAGGCATCCGATTTTTTATGTGTGTGTGAAGATGGTTATAGTCATGCCAGATTCTCACAGCACATTCCTTCCTCTGTTTCTCTGTGTCTTTCTCCCCATCCACTCCGTCACCAACTGTCCCTTCTTGCAGTTATTTTTTGTGATGCTTCTTTTTTTCCTTTTCCTTATTTCCACTGGCTTGATTAAGCTGCGTTCACTCCAGTCTTTCTCCTGATACTTCGAGAGTTGTATCACTCTTCCTTTCATGAATTCCTACCTCCCCTCGTGCTCACGATGACACTCAGGGTCTCCTACTTACACGAACAAGTGTTGCCGTCTATGTCTCCTACCCCAGGGATTCTGGCTTTCCACCTTTTCCTCATTCCAGTGAACGCAAACCTTTAAAACGTGCTCATCCCACTGCCTGGTACTTTCTCCTGCCACCCGCCTTGCCCACTGTGGAATTTTTGGAATAGAATTATTTAGTCTTTTTTTTCATCACTAACCATTATATTTTTCTGAGGTCATTAAAAACCTTTGATATTGCCCTCCCTTTGGAAGAGTGCACATCTAACACTTACTGGTCCTAGAACACCCCAGTCTGTCTGTACTTGAGGATAAACATATCTTGCAAGTTTCATTGCTCACCACTGCTTCCCCTCCATTATAGCTCTATACTGAAGGCTTTCTTTTTTTCTATTTTCGTGTTTAATGTCCCTTTAGAATACTTTTCTTACATGGAAAACATGAAGAATATATTTTCTGATCATATCCATATCCAAAATTAAGTTTCATTCACCTTCGCAGGAGTGTAACAGTTCACTGGTACAGGATCTTAGATGGGAGATATTTTGCTCTAAGTAGTGTGTGGAATGTTAGTTCTCTGATACTTCTAGTGTTACAGATGAGAAGTCTGATTCTTTCTCCTTTGTAGGAAATTTGTTTTTTCTTTCTGTAAGCTAATAACACTTTTCCTCATTAGCCTCGGGCTACAGGAATTTGTCTTTTCTACTAATCTGTGTTATTAGACGCTCACTGACTCCTGATATGCAGACAAAGTCTTTCCTCAGTTTCAGGATGTTTTCTACCATAATTAATGTCCCTACTCCTGTTTCCTTTGAACATTTTTTCTAAAATTCTCTTTAAAATTATTATTCCTTTGCTTACTAAAACTCTTGGATCTTTCTTATGAAAAAAATATCTTTTCTTGTCACATCCACTTTACATTTAGGTATATCTCACTGTTACTCTTCCTTCAGTTAACCCAGTGTCAGCAACGGCTAGCCTCTCCATCTACTGAAAGATTTAGTAAGGAATTATCTTTTCTTAGGTCTATAAAGTCCGCTTTCCCTGATAAGTGTGCACTTCTCGAAGTGCTTTTTAATTATATACTGTTCACATTTTCATTTCTGTTCAGAAGCATCTTTAGCTCAGTGTGCACGCATTATTTATTCTCGTACCTAAGGAATTGTTATCCCATAAGCTTTTCTCAGAACTTAAGGTTTAAGATTCTGAGCCCTGGAGGCTGGGGATTTAGCTCAGTGGCAAAAGCGCCTGCCTGGCAAGCGCAAGGTCATGAGTTCAATTCCTGGTACCCGGAAAAAAAACAAAACAAAACAAACAACAACAAAAAAAATTCTGATCCCTAAGGTGTAGGAAAAAGGGAGAGTGAAAACAAGAGATGAAAAGAGTTTTTTAAAATAATAAATGCAATATGTGTATTTCATGTAGATCTTAATTTTAACAAACTGTAAAAATGACCTACAGTGGAAAAATTGAACATTGCTAATTGATAATATAAAGCAATTATAACTTTTAAATGAGATAATGGAATGAAGGTGACACATTTAGAAATCTAAATTACTGGCATACATTGAAATATTTATAAACAAAATTATATGATGATTAAGATTTGCTTAAAGACATTAGGGAGTAATTGAGTGTAGCTTTAGTTTTTATTGTTTTTTTCTCTTTAAAATTAAAACAAACTAACTTGATATTACTCAAAAAAAAAAAAAAAAGAAATAAGATCAGCTTTGCAACTGAACTGGGTAGCCTTATTTCCCCCTCCACGCAGTCTCGGATTTTTCCTATCTTTGCATCCTTTCCACACGGCCCTTGTAAGAGCTCAGCTGCACTTCACAGATAAAGGTCTCCCAAGGTCTCAAATCTGGAAGCTGCTAGATTTTCTAGAGATTTAAGCCTCCAGCTGGCACACCACCCCATCTTCGCGTTGTTTTGGTCAAAGGGAGACACAGGGCCCTTCCAGATTCGGTGCAGAAGGACGTGCACGGTGGTGTAACCTCTGGATGGGTTAAATTTTGGAGGTTTGTACCATATCTAGGTATAAATGAAAACTTCAGAGTTTTAAAGCTGACTTGTCTTCTCTTTCTCAGGTAGGAATTGCTGGACACAAGCAATCTGCGGTGGGCAGAGAGGTCTTGGCCCGTTTCTTCCCCAATCAGTATTTGTCCTCTCCCTCCGGCTTGCCAGGACTTTGGCCCTACTTGTACCAAAGCCAGGAGAGACAACCACAGTAAGAAAAGCAGAAGTTTTCACTTTGGCAATGTCGCCATAGGTGGCTTCATCCCCTGGATTTGGCAGATGTGTAGAGCTGACCCCTCTTAGGACGGGACAGGGGGCTATGGCAGAACAGGTAAGAGAGGATATAAATTCCCTTGAGAGCTCCCTCCAGGTTGCTTGAGATATTTCACTCCATTTTCTAAAAACTATCCAGGACATATTCACCTGGCTTTGTGCTCCTGAAAGTGTGGGTCTTATTCTGACGACTCAGTAAAGTCTCTGCTGGAACCTTCTCACTGCTGGTTTCTCAATCCCTCCAAAGCAATCCTCTCGGGACATTTTTAGAACCGGCCCAGTCATCACCCCGTATTTCCCACCCACGGAAACACTGCTCATGCGTCTTTGACCCACTGATCTCCTAGAACGGAAGTTGGCCTCAGGGCAGGAGCATTTCCTTCATGAGTAACACTGGAGAACCTGGCCAGTCATCTGTGAGACTGGGGATTTTCCGGGCAGCAGTCAGACACCGGTCTGTTCTGTCTCCCTAACGGCAGGGAAGGCATTGAACTCTTCACGTGAATCAAGTGGAGACCTTTTTCAGCGGGGGAAACATCCGAAGCCCATCTCCTGGGGTGGAAATGAAGGATTTACAGATCAAACTTACAAATAAATCTGTGAAGTACCACTGCCCGTGTGGCTGGACTCTCAGCGTTGGTGATGAATTTAAGAACTGACTCTTGGTTCTTGTTTACCTCTTTTTTTGCAAGTCCCAGAGGCTGACTTGTCTCTTTTGGGCAGTATCCATTTTCCATGATATCTTCCTGGCTGAATCGCGACTTTCAAGCTCATATCCTGTTATATGTGATCTGTATACACCAGCTGGGCTCACAGCCCCACTCCTAAGTCACATGCTTGTTTTGAACACTTTTCTAAACACTCCCAAAGGTTTTTTAACCCTACTACTTTGATGTATATAGAGAACAAAGAACACAAGAAAATATTTTAGAATTTCACATTTTAGAAATAATGTATATCCCCAAATCCTCACTTCTTACCCAAAGGAAAAACTAAACACTGACAAATTCCCGTTTTCTCTCTTTCCTCTGCATAGCTGCACAAGTATTCACAGCTAGGAAGTGGGTCGCATCACTGACATGGGTAATCCTGAGTCGGAGTCCGGGCCATCGTGGTAACCATAGCAGCAGGCAGCGATGACATCAGAAACCTGTCTTGGGCTTGTTGGCTCAGTGCGCTGCGCTGAAGAAATCGCAAGGTGGCCTAAAGAACGCAGGAAAAGCCGTTACTCCTTTTGAGAAGTACCTGGAAAAGATCTCTAAACAGCTATCGGGAGTCCTGCAGCCACTGTTAACCCTTCAGTCGGACAATGTGGAAGTGATGTAAGGGGACACGGACACAGATCTGAGTTTATGCATCTGCGAATATACTCGCTCTGACCAGTTTGTCCCACAGTTGGACCTTAACTGTCCCCCAAAGGCCACGAGTCACGGACTGGGCCGCGCCCACCTGGTGCGTTGGGAGGCGGCTGAAACTTAAAGCGACGGGGCCCTGACCTCGTCCTCTGTCTTCCGCGTCCTACCGGGAGAGTCAGTCTGCTCCACCATGGGCGCCCCTCAGGACGCACCACCGCAGGCCAAGAACCGCAGAGCCCACGAACCACGGAGCAGGATTTCTGAAGCTGAGGAAAATGAACCCTTTCTCTGCATAAACTGTTTATCTCAGCTGTTTGTAGCAGTAAAAGAAAGCTGACGAGCAATTTGATCCCGAAAGCATCCAGTGAAGAATGATTATCAGGACCCCAGGCGTTGTGTAAACACTTTTTAAAACACTGCTTGCAGCCATTGCGCTGGATGTCCATGTTACCGATTTCCGCCCGCGCTCCACTCACGCGACGCCCCACTTTCCTTCCAGCTACTCGCGGCCTCTCAGGCTACCTCTCCACATCTGTTCCACCTTACATGGCTTCTAGCTTAGCGCCTTACTTTCCAGGACTCACCCACCGCAGAGACTAAGTTGAAGTATTCCAGGTTTATTATTCATGATACTAACCCACATAAAGCCCTAGCCCGGTGTCTCAGTAATGTTGACCATTTACTGAAAATAGCAACTTTATCCAATAAAGAAAGTGTATAAACCCCACCCTAGCTAGAAGTTGTCTTGTTGACTGTCACGTAGGCAAGTAAGAAACAAGTCTTTAGCTGCACTGAAAATCAGCAATATCGAAAGAATTCACAAGAGAAACTGCACACTCAACCCACATGATTTCCTGATTTCATAGGAGACGCTGCCCTGGTAATAATGAATAAGGGGGCTGGGCTGTGTCTCAGGAGCAAACTGCCTGCTTAACATCAAGGCCCTGGATTCCAATCCCAGCACTGCAAAGATAAAATAAAATAAAAATAGTGAACAAAGGAGGCTAACAACCCTCGCAAAGAAAAAGAAATCCTGCCACCTGAAATGCGCAGATTTACAATCAGGCAGGAGTCATCCGATAAATGCAGTGGCTTCATTCAAAAAGCATGATTCTAGCCCAGTGGGTACTCAAAGCCCCAGACCAGCACTCGCGGCTCTGCAGGATGTTTAGTACATAGCTTCAGGCTTCTAGGGGTGCGCTGACTTAGGAGAGTTCATGGTGCCCACGTCAAGTCTTCCTGGGAGACAGTGGCTCAGCTGGTGGCCGGTTGGCCTCTGACCTCGTGCAGCGGATTCCCCGACCTCTGCGTTGCTCCCACGTTACTGAGGTAGGAACTTACCTTGAGGTAGAAGGAAGACAGACCATATCAGTGTGCCTGGTGTGTCGGGGTGACAGTTAGAAAGAAACACGCAAGGAAATTCAGAACAGTCATACTTAAAGAAAATAGCACTTGTAAGAAACAATCCGTCCTGTCCGGGCTGGTGGCGGCGGCGTCTGTAACCCTAGCACCCTGGGAAAGGAGAATTGCAAGTCTGAGCACAGCCTAGGCAGTTTAGTAACCTAGCAAGACTGTCACAAAATAAAAAATAAAAAGGGCTAGGGATGTAGCTCAGTGTGAATGCCCTGGGTTCAATCAGTAACACACACACACACACACACACACACACACACACACACTCCACCTAAAAATGAAATTATGTCTTAAAACTTTTACTGATCTAATCTGTTGGATAAATTAAGAGAAGCGTACGCTAAAGTAGTGCAAGTGCGATTTCTTCTGAAAGTGGGTTACCATAGGTAACAACACGCTCCGCTGCACGGTAACTAGGAGAACGCGCGCTCTTATTGCAGCGACCCTAGGGCTCGCACAAGTGTCTAGCAGTACATTTAGTAGTGAAGCACGCCCCCTGGTGGATATGAGTAGGGATTTTAACAAAACAGTTGAAATCTTTTTAAAATTTTTTCATTTCCTCTTAATACTTGCAGAATTAAAAAAGAAAGGGTGGGCAGAGTAGCTACTTCACCTACGAGCCATATAAGCTTGGCGTGAAGACTTGCTACAAAGTCAAGGCTTGTTAAGCCCCTGGAGGAGCTAAGATATAAACCCATTCTAGGGTTTCAGTAGAGGAGGTGCAATGGTCTGATGTTGCTCCCTCCACAAAATTCACATGCTGACCCCAAAGTCGTAAGGTGGGCTGGGGATTTAGCTCAGTGGCAAAGCGCCTGCCTGGCAAGCGCAAGGTCGTGAGTTCGGTTCCCGGTACCGGAGAAAAACCAAAAAAAAAAAAAAAAAAAAAAACCAACTCGTAAGGTGATGGTATCAGAAAGTTTCGTCTGTGGGAGACGAGCTGCTTTGCCTACAGGAATGGATTACTGGAGAGCCGCTCTGCTCACCGTCGTGCAGACGGAACGCAAACGCTCGGGGAGAAGCGGACCCACTCCGTGCTCGAGCCAGCGCCTCGGTCTTGGCCTTCGTCTGTAAGAGAAGTGCACTGCTGTGACCATGAGCCGTCCGATGTAAGGCATCATGTTCTAGCAGACCAGGTGGACTTAGTACATTTTTAACCCAAGCGCGATTGACAGTTTGGATGTCAATCCAACAATTATTTGTTGTGTGAGTTGTTCTATGCGTTATGGGATGTTTATTAACATCCCAGTCCACCAACTCGACGCCAGTATCAACCCCTCTTCAGCCCCACCTGTCCTCACAATCAACAGTGCTTGCACATCCTGCCAGACGTCCTCGGGAGCAAAGTCATGTTCAGCTGAGAACCAGCGCAGTAGAGACAACATGACCCGAAACCTTTTCATACCCTCTATCTCTGCTTCTCTGAGAAAAACCTACAAGCAACAGAAATACCAGGAGGGAGGCAAAATGGTAAAAAGTCGCCAAACCCTGTGTATGTGCTCAAGTTGGAGATGAGAAATTCTGAAAGGGTGGCCACAGAGTGAAAAAGTCTTCTGGCATGAGCACCTAGGACTGAGTTTCTCTTAACTGAGATGGGAAGACAGCAAGAGGAGCTAGACTGTCACTGGACAGCAGAGCGGAGCGAAAGGCACCCAACCTGGGATATGTTACATGTAAGAGACATTTCTTAAACACCCAAGTGGACTCAGGAGGCTGAGGCGGGGGATCATCGTGAGTTCAAGACCAGCCTGAACTGCACAGAGACCCTGTTTCAAAAAAGATAAAAAACAAACAAACAAAAAAACACCCAAGTGGAAATGTCAACCTGCACTGAATATACAATTTGAAAATTAGGGGAGAGGCCTGAACTGTTACTCTAAATTTCAGCCATTGGTTTATAGGTAACATTTAGTGAACTTACCTCAAAAGTGAATATAGGTTTAAAATTTTAAAACGAGATGTAAGGATGAAGCCCTGTACAACTCTGAGCGGTCAGTGTAGGGATATGAGAAGGAACAAGCAGCAGAAGCAGACACAACACTAAGGTGCAAAACACGCAGCTGTGATGTCCCCGAAGTCGTGGACACTTGTACAGGGTTCTTCTGTTTACATGAAACGACTTCATCTTAGTAACTCCTGTTGTGATGGGGCCATTTGTAAATATCTATAATTTATTGTATTTTTCTGCAGTAATTTGTTCGTTTAGGTTATGAACTCCTGAGGATGAAGATTTACCATTGCACCCTTAGAGAAACTAGCAGTGACTGGCACACAGTACATAAACAAGTTCAATTGATATGGAAACAATATGAAACTCATCCTTTTGAAATGAAAGTACCTGTAAAATAAAACACTCATTGAGATTCTTAATTAAGTCAAGATTAGCAAAACATGTAGTTAATATGACTGTGATTGTCGTTATCAAGGACTCAACCACAAAAGTCTGCCATGCTGGACCTTACTGTGAAGAGTATGCTCGCCCTCGCCCTGATTTCAGCCAAAGCATCGCGGCTAGCTAGCATTTATTTATTTATTTACTGTTACGGATTGTGTCGAGATGTCACCCCCAAAGCCTCATGTGGTCATGGGACGTTTTCAGAGGTGGCTGAATCTAGTGTGTGTGACTGCTTCCTAGTGCAACGCTGGCACTAAGAGTGCTGGGAGGAAGGGGGTGGCTGCTGGATCAGTTTAGATTAGATTGGCACGGTAGACTGATACAGTATAAGGGATAAGGAGAAGCTTGTCCTTCTACCTTGTTGCTTTGCACAGGCTGCCTGCTATGAACTGGTCTCCCCTGCCAAGCCAACCTACCTATGAACTGAAACCTCCACAGACTTATCTAAGTAAACCTTCCCTCCCTTGATTTTGGGCACTGGGTGTTTTGTCTTAGCAACAAGAAAAGTAACTAAGGCTTATTTATTTATTTATTTATTTTGGTTTTTTTCAGACAGGACCTCGCTGTGCAGTTCATGCTGGGCTTGAACTCATGGTGAGCCTTCTGTCTTAGCCTCCTGCATACTGGGATTACAGTACTGGCCATTTATTTTATACATAAAGAATCTAGATTATAATTTTATTTAAATAAGAAAATTGACTCCAAGACTACATCATCTGAGGCATCAGGACGCATGTTTGAATATGAAAGAGCACGATTAGATTTTATATTGCCTTTACAGGCTTTTAATTGATTAAATAAAAATAACATAATTGCAAAGCTATGTATCAGAAATTATGTAAAATTATTTATACATTAATATTTAACCTTATTTAATCAATTAGCAACTTTATAGATTAATTACACAGGTGAAGAAACAAACAAAAATATTAAGAAGGGTACCCTAAGACATCTAGCCAGCCAGTGGCACTGAATTTGAAACCAGATGTGACTGCAAAAACATTGATCTTAAATATGAGGATCTACTGCCTCACATGTATGAAATGACTACACACAGTTATTCCCAATGCTGGGGATCAAAGCCAGGGTCTTGCATATGCTAAGCACACACTCCACTACCAAGCTACAATCCTAGCTTCCAGGTTGTTTTCCATGCAGCCATTCCTTTTGTTACTGAAGGAGGAAAGGAAATATGGAAAAGGGAACCAAATTTATACTGAGCATGATTATAGCCATTACTCACAGACCATGCTGACAAAAAACACACAGAGCAAAAGCTGGAATGTCCCCAGGAGGTAGAACTGTAAAAGCCACTCTTCCGCTTCAGGCCGCCGTGGAGTGCGTGCTCCTGCCTCCGAGCCTCACCATGTCTTCCCACAAGACTTTCAGAATCAAGAGTCCTGGCCAGGAAGGAAAAGCAGAATCGCCCCACTCCTCAAAGGATTCGGATAAGACTGGTAATAAAATCAGGTACAACTCCAAGAGGAGACAGTGGAGGAGGACCAAGCTGGGACTGTAAGGAGCTGCACATGAGCTACAGCACTTTTACCCTCTTGGAGGTCGTGAGAGGATACCCTCTTTATCATGGTCAAGAAGATATCACCATATCAAGCTTTAAAAATACCATTGGTGAGACAGTGGAATATACTTAATCAGGAATCTTAAATCTTTTTCTGTGATCAGCACTAGGAGATCAACAATAAATATTTGAAACCCTTAAAAAAAAAGAACCGTGAAAGCTAACTTTTTTTTTTTTTACTTTTTAGTACTGCCTCCCCACATAGAGCTGAGATGCTGTTATTTTTGCTATGAAAAAACACAAACATACAAAAGTGGAACAATATAGTACAATGAACCACTGTCTACCGCATAGGTCATTTAAAATTAACAACTCAGCTAACCCTGCTTTTCTAAATTTTCATCTGTATTCGTCAGCTTTCCCTTCACTGGCAAAACATGGCCAACACCCGCAACGTAAAGGAGAGGAGGCTCATTCTGGCCCACAGTTCTCAGCGTGTTCACTCCGTGACTGCCTGGCCTCACAGCAGGAACACCGCGGTAGCAAAGCATGGCAAAGGAAAGCTGCCCGCTTCAGGACAGCCAGGAAGCCCAGAGGAAGAGAGGAGCCAGAGAAAGTCCAGAGCCACACCTCTAGGGACACACCTCTCCCAACCAGCCCCGAGCACACTTCGCAATGAACTCATCTTTGAACCTATCTGCTGAGAAGCACAGCACCCCCATGACCCAGTCAGCTTCCAAAAGCCCCTCTCTGAACATGAGGCTTTTGGGAAACATTCCAGATCTAAATCACATTTCCCCTTGGTCCCTGAAAGGCTCATTTCCATCTCAGAGTGTAAAATGTACTTTGCCCTTCTCTAAGTCACCAAAGTCTTAACAGTTTGAGCAAGCCTGAAAAGTCCAAGTCCAAAGTCTCCTCTGAGACTCAAGGCAAACTCTTAGCTATGAGCTCCTGTAAAAATAAAAAAGAAACACACAGGGTAAAGCATTTTGTCTTATTCACTTTCCTCTGGGACAAAATACCTGATAAAGGCTACTAAAAGGAGGAGAGGTTTATTTTGGCTCATGTTTTAGTCTAAAATCATGTGGTTTCAAGGCAGGATAGCACGGCACAAGGGAATAGGGAGGAATCACCGCTCACCTCAGGGAGGACAGGAAGCAGAGTGAAGGGAAAATCCAGGCAGAAGATACAGCCTTGCAAGTCTCACCTCTAGTGGCGTGCCTCTTCTGATCAGCTCCCAGCCCCTCGTGCCAAGTCAGGTATACTGCCCCCAATAATCTAGTCACCCCCCAAAAATCCAGCCTCTGAGCATGTGAGGTTTTCAGGAGACACCTAGATATAACTGTGTTATGGTTGATCGTGTCAATTTAGTAGTAACGCCCAGCTAAACTGGCTCAGCATAGTTCTTGGTATGGAAGACCCACCCTCAGGAGGACTATTGCCAGAATGGTATAAAAAGGGAAACAGAGAAGACAGGCTTGCTTCTCTTTTCTTTGTAGGTCTCCAGTCTTTGCCTTCACCTTGGATGTTGTCTCCTGGCTCCCAGCACAATTTTCAGCTTCTAGCACCAACCCTTCAGCCTCCCATTGCAGACCCTTCAGCTTCCTGATACGGACTTGCACAGAACACTACCTGGAGCTTAAAGTCTTGGACTGGATGCTTTAGACCCCAATGCACAGAAGACCTCTTGCACTCCTCCACACCCAACTCTGTGAGCCGATCTTGTAAATTCTTATGTATTTGTATATCTTGTATTATATGTTTCTCTAGTAAGCACTGAATGATAGAAACCAGAACACATTTCCATTCAAAAAGGTAGGAGTCAGACCAAAAACACAGCCAAAAGTTAGTAAGTCAAACATTAAATCCTGTAGCTCCATGTCCAGCACCCAGGGCAGGTGGTGGCCAGATGTGAATTGCTAAGAGCTTGGGCACCTCTGCTCCAATAGCCATTCTGGTTGGAGCTCATGGGGCATCTCTCTTAGACTGGCTCCACTCACTGCCTGTGGATCTCCTCAGCAAACATGGATGTTTCTGGCCTCTCCAACTTCTTCGGGTTTCCACTGCACCTTTGGCTTCACACTCACAGCAGTATATATTGTCCTTTAAGGGGTACAAGGCCTTGTCTCCCAGGTCTTCCTTTGAAATCTGGGT